CCATGTGGTCACCTCCGGGGCAGGCGGGAATCGAACTCATGCGAAAGTGGCTTTAGATTCTCAATGCAGTGCTTTAACCCGCTGCGCCACCAGGGAGGGCCCTTATGTCTTTTTTTTTTAAATGGTTTATTTATGCAGAGAAAAACTGTGATGTAGGCCAGAAGTATGGGGGGGTGAGAGGCTTCACCAGAGACAGAGTGGGGAACAGAACAGGCAGATTGACTGAAGTACACTGCTGAGGGGAGCAGTGGGAGAGACAGAAGAACTGGCCATGTGGGTCAGCTCCCTGGTCAGTAGTTGAGTTTGTGCTTCATTGGCTGCAGTTAGCTTCATAGCGCTGAGATTTAACCCCTTGTACCACCAAGGAGGCCCGTGTCTTCTTTTATGTCTTTTAAAAGCATACTTGTCGTTGGATTTAGGGCTCACCTGGGTAGTCAGCACAACCTTATCTCAATAACAACTACAATGACCCTTTTTCCAAATAAGACCACATTGACAGGTTCCAGATAGAGAATATGGACATTTCTCTATGGACATTTGAGGCCTCTGTTCAACTGTGTTCAACTAGCTTTGTTTGCATTTCCTTAGTGATGAGTAATGTTGAGCATCTTTTCATGAACTTATTGTCATGATGTTAATAAAAGGCTTGTAGAGAAGAAACTGTTTGGAATAATTCAAAAGTAAAGTGAGAAATGGGGAGAAGCTCTTAGGGTATAGAGGAAGACACTGAGAGAGGTTCAGGTAAGCAAGCATGCAGCATATTTGGACACCAGTGTACAACTTGGTTTACCTATATGGTAAGTTTTGGGAGGGAGGGAAAAGCTTTACTGTGCTGAAGAACAGGGCCATCTCTGTCTTTTGTACAGCCCAATGCCTAACTCACAGAAGACACTCAATGAACATTTGTTCTGACATTGAGCTCATTTTATTGGACAAGAATAACTTGAGAGAGATACACTAATTCCAAGCAAATGCTGTGTGAAGTCTTAATAATCACTCTGCTTCTATTAGACATTAAAACAAATAGAAATAGATAAAAGTACAAAATGACTTCATTGTGATAAAATTCTGGGACATCTTAGGAGAGCCAGCTTTGTTTCTTCCATCAACAAAGTTAAGTAAATGCCTAATGTAATTACCTTGAGACTCTTGCCAAACAATGGGAAAATCCAGCTCTGTCTTTATCTTGGTTTTGCCACAGGAAACTATGCACATTGCCCAAGAATGGAATGATTGACTGTGTGTTTTAAGCCACAATAAATTATTCATTAACATTTGAGGTTGATCCAGATCTGGTTAAAGGATTTACTTGGTTTTAAATCACTTTACTTGGATTTATATTGAAATCAATATTATGATTCCCTTTAAAACTTGAAATAATGGTCTCCAGTTTTCTCAAAATTAAGGCCTGTTTCTTCAATTCTTTTTCCCTCTGTGGAAAGATTTTTGTCTGGGGAATTGCATTTGTTAAGTAAATAATTAATCAGTTTGCCCATGAGACAATCAGTGTTGCTGCTGCCAAGCTCAAACCCAGTCAGGAGCCTGTACAGGCTTATCATCTGTAAATTAACAGTTCCTTCAGGCTTTCTGAAATAACAGTAGTAGTTTTCAAATCCCTACTGTAGCCTTTAGGGATCCTCCTAGGATTTTGATTTTCAAAATTGGAGCCATGAATTTCAAAACTTCTCCTTAGTGTATGAAGGCTGGGAGAGTTAGAGCCAGCATACATATATGCTTAGTGCATCTTTCTAGAGCATCACCTTTATTCTGACATTTCAGAACAAAATTATAGAGCAAAATGGATAACCAGCCTGCATTTTAAAACAAAATGATCTAAAGAACCTACAAACCAGATTGAATTTTATCTCCAGATCCTTGGGGTTAGATATGAACCTTCCCTGAGAAGCTGTTCCATTGAGGGGAGGTGTAAAAGTCCCGAACTCAAAGGCTGAAATGCTTTTGGAAAATACTGTGATAAATGCTTGCGGGAGTGGTTGTGGTGGTGGTGGGGGGGGGGTTCAGTTTAACCCCTGCACATCCCAAGTCACCCCTTCATTGGAAGGTAGGCTTTGCTCTGTACTGGGAAAGAAGGGACACCTGGAGAACAGAGGTGGCAGGGGTGGTGAAGAGAGAGCAATGAGCAGTACTTGGGAAATCCCTGTAAATCTGGAGTAACAGCTTTTAATTGTGTGGTTGGTGGTTTTTTGTTGTATCTGTGAAATCAGTTCTGCAAAACCAAAAGAAGGGGCTAGATTTCATGTTCAAGTTAGCCTGGTGCCCTGTGGGGTCCACATGAAGATCATGATAACCCACTGAGCCAGGAGAACACAGACCTTGGGGCTCTGGGGACATCTATGGACCCCAGTATTGGAGGATAAGGCAGGATTTTAGACAATTTTATTGGCTGGCCTTACCTCAAAACCGGTGCTGGATTAGTTGTTTTTTCTTTTGTTTTCAAATAAGTTTTTAATACTGGTTTAAAAGACACTTTCTAAATACTTCTTTCATCTAAAGACCTCGCCCTCTTTGAATAATCATTATTTTACCCCTGTTTTAATTACAAATGGAAAGAAGGAATGCCATATTAGCCCTGAAAGGCTATTCGTTTTTACTATTTTAAGAAGTAAAATTGAACTGCTGATGAAATGTGACAAGAAAGGTGGAAAATGCAGTTTGGGCTGTGAGATCTGAGAGATGTGTGAGAACAGGGGGCGGTAGAAAGAGCCCTGGACCGGAGGTGAAGACCAGGCTCCGAGGCCCACCTGTCCACTCAGCCCCGTGTACTGGGAGCAGGGCCAGACCTTTGTATCTTCATACACTCAGAGGATTGTACTAAACATACTAAATTTGCAATCGGAACTTGAGAATTGCAAAGTTGATTTCTAGTTGTCCTTTTTTTGCTTTACTTTGTTAGGTTTTGTTGTTGTTAGCTAAGCAACAAGTTCATTGGCAAATATGTCCTCTCGATCTATCTTAGGAAACATTTGATTTAAACGTCCCTGTGAGGAGGATTTTCTTCCCCGCCCCCCCATTCACTGTGTCTATTGAGACTTTGGCCCCCTGCCATCGGCCAGAGCCCTTCAGTCATAAGCAAGTGTCCATTTCACATCAAATCGCATCCAAAGCTTGAGACATTTCCTTTCTCTTTCTATACTCTTATCCTGAATACACATTTTTATTTGTAGCATCGATTTACAACACTGTAAATGCTTTAAGAGTACAGGTTCACATTTCCTCAGATTATGCTACCACACCAAAACCCACCATCTGCGTCTCACAGCCCTCCCCCGTAGTCCACGAGCCTCCACCCTGATGCTCTCCCCTTCACTGGTAACCTCAGCATGGTGTCAGCATGGTGTTTTTGGTTTGTGTTACCTGATATTATTTCTTTATATTCTACATAAGTGTGAATCATCTGATACTTGTCTTTCCCTTGGGTCCCCCCCCCACCCATGTTGTCACAAATGGAAAATTTTATCTTTTTGTTGAGTATTTTCCATTGTGTAATTTATGCACATCTTTAACCAGTCGTCCACTGATAAACACTTGGGTTGTTTCCATGTCTTCTGTCTTCTATTGTAAGGTGTGGTGCAGTGAACACGGGATACATGTACTTTTTTTATGTTTTAATACTCTTCAGACAGACACCTAAACGTGTAGTCGCTTGATCACATGATACTTCCATTTTTAATACTTTGAAGAACCTCCATATGTTTCGCATAGGGGCTAGACCAGAGACAGAGTGGGGAGCAGAACATTCAGATCGATGGAGGGGAGCAGTGGGCAGGTCAGGAGAGGTCTGCTTTACTATGTAGGAGACACCTCCCTGGCCAGGGGTTGAACTCGTGAAGTGGCTGCTTCTAGCATCATAGTGCTGTGCATTAACCTGTTGCACCACCAGGGAGGGCCCTCTTCTGATTATTATTGTGGCAGTTATGTTTATGTTTATTTTTTTTCCATTTTGTACATTTTTTTTTCATCTCAATTGTAATCCCCGTGGGTTTCCCATCACCGAGTCACCCAAGTGCCATCACCATATGTTTATTATTTTTAAATGATGGAGTTTGTATCTTCTAAAAATTTATCTCCTCACATCTTTTTTCCCCAAATATTTATTTATTCATGCATACAAGAGCTGGGGTGCAGGCCAGAGATGCGGGGAGTGAGAGGATTCACCAGAGACAGAGTGGGAAACAGAGCAAGCAGAATGACTGAGATACACTGCTGAGGGGTGCAGCGGGTGAGACAGAAGAGGTCTGCTGAGCCATGTGGGTCATGGACCTGGCTAGGGATTGAACTTGTGCAGCAGTGGCTGTGATTAGCTTCATAGTACTGCGACTTAACCCTTTCCACCAGGGAGGCCCGTCCTCAAATCTCTTTAGGAATAGATGAGATTAAATAAATGAGGAGATGAATATTGTGTAAATTAAATGATAGCTGGGAAGGCCTGCAGAGGGAGTTCTCAGGAACTGTCCCTGCAGCCCTTTCTACATACTCCCTTCCCTGGCAACCCCACAAGAAGGAGTTTATCCCTCCACTTGCACATTGGAAGAGGTCATCTCTTCTGTCTGCTTTTGCTCTAGAATAGTAAGCCTCTCTCAAGTATTCTTCTATGCTCAGCCATAGCATATATTTCCCAAATTGCAATTTCTCTGGCTGTTCCCAAAGAAGCAACTTGTTGTCACTGGTAAAATAACTGGCTACTTTGATTTAAAGATGATAGTAAGCAAACAGATGAAACTGTCTTCTCTAAATGTTTCTTTTTCTCTCCCAGCATCTGGTCAATGTTTCTAACGAAGACATAAATGTTCATATTATACCCCCACAAACCAAATACTTTCAGATCAAGTATGTGAAAAAGGTGAGTGCGGCCTGTTTGCCTACTCTCCCACAGTATCCTTTGTTGAGTTGTGCCTTGGGATGGCAGTGTGGTGTAGGGGTACCACCCCTGCTCTCGGTGTGCTGTGTCTCAATGAAAGCCTGCTTGCCTTCCAGGAACACCGCCTGGTCCCTGGTCTATCCCTCATGGTCACCATAACATTTTCTCCTGATGAGTGGCGATACTACTACGACTGCATCCGTGTTCACTGTAAGGTAAGTTCCTTAAACCTGGTGGTGGTGGGAGAGGGAGCATCAACACTTAAATTCTCAAGAGAAGAAGAAACAAAGATGGAATCCCAAGTAAGAATTTTCTCTGTCCAACCCTTGGGTCTGAGTGTCTGGAGGTTCCTCGCCCAGAAACGTGGATCTCAGTTGGGAGGGTATCTGCTCTCCAGAATGGGCAGCACCATGAGATGCCTTTTGCCACAGGCTTCTTACCTGCCCTGGCCCAAAGACCTCAGTTATCATGTGTTGCTGGGAGTTGAAGTCTTTTTCAAATAACTTGAACGTAGTCCTTTAAGCAACAACCGGAGTTGTGATTATAAACATTGGAAATGGGATGGTGTTTCCTGTTGGGACATCTGCAGAGGTAACCCTAGGGCTCAGCAGAGAGGTGGGGGGCCTTGCAGCGGGGCTCCAGATGGCTACGTGTTGTGAATTTTTTAGGCTTTTCAAGGTCACCTTCCATGACTGTCCACCCTCCTCTAAAAACTGTTCCCTTTTCCCTTTGCTCTGTATTCCAGACCCAACTCTTGTAAATTGAAAGATTTAGGTTAGTAAATTTTATTTTTCAAAACCAAAATGGAAGAGGATGCCTTAGTAACAGTTGGGTGTCAGTTGAAAAACAAACCAACCTAGAGAGAGAGTCAGCATATTGCCTTCAGGAGAAATCTTCTGTACCGGGAAGAAAAATTTCTGAGACAGCCAATGTGTAGAGTGTCAGGCTCCCTTCCTGCAGCTTCATGGTCATTCTAGTAACAACTGGCACTTATGCACTACCTTTTACCTCTTGAGGTTTTAATATCTGTTTCTATTTTTTAAAAACACCTTTAGGGAAACGCAGAATTATTTTTGGAAAGGAAGAAGCAAGGCCTGGAGAGGTAGGAGGTCGTTTTCAAGGTCACTGTGAAAGGCCTCCCTGCCCCCTTGCCAGCTCACTGTCCACTATTCAGTGTTTTCTGGATCAGCCAACTTGTGCTGGTTTCTCTTTCATTGGGGCCACTAAAAAATGTGTTTTCGCTGCCATTTTCTGAACTAAAAGTAAGTAGGTTTCTGTCTTTATTTTTACCCAAGGGCAGCTTGACCTACCCTGAATAATAGTGAATATAATTTCAGTGAAATATACTTAAAATTTCCTGCCATTTGTGTATAGCTTGGAAAACTTAATATTTCTGATGTACTTAAACACTCAGGCTCCTTACAGAAATACTTTTGAATGATAGGAAACAAGATAAAAAATAAGGCATCCACAAGTTCATGTTTGAAAATTATCGTATTCAGTGTAATACCCTTCCCTTTTTTCCATTATTTTTAGGGAGATGACACTTTGCTTATTCCCATCCATGCCTATCCTGTTATGAATACGCTGGACTTCCCCTCATTCATAAATCTTTCAAATGTTCTACTTGGTGAAAGGTAAGTTGCCAAAATAAACTACCAAAATATGTCATAGTATGTGCAAAGTTAGGGTATACACTTATATCAAGTAAATATATATTTCAAAAGTTAGACTTGTTTTTTTTCCTAATGGAAGGTTAGGCTGCTAGTTGAGTTAGACTGGCCTTGCAAAACAACAATAAAAAAGTCAAAGGGAATAAGAAAGGGAAGGTATCACGTCCTTTCACTAAAAAGTACCAGGTTGGCCTTCAGGCATGGCTGGGTCTGGGAGTTGAAGTCAGGTTGCAGGACGGGGGCTCTGCTCTATCTTGGTTCTGCTGCTCTCGAGGACGAGGCTGCTGCCAGAAGCTCTTCATTCGAAGATGCAGCAGAGGTGGCTGGATTAGCTGGAAAGTTGGGGTTGTTTAAGCAAGAGTCCTAGAATGAGTCCTATTGAACCAGCTTGGATCTCTCTGCCCATCTGTTAATCAGTCTCTGTTTTTAGTTGAAGGGGAAGTAAGTGGAGGCAGACAGAGCACAGATAAGAGAAAGTCAACATAGAAGCCAAATCAAAGATTTCTGTATGCATAAATAAATAAATCTTAAAAAAATAAAACATAAAACATTACCAGTAACTTTGCCACCTCTGTCCTGAGTTTTTTGATAATCATTACTTTAATACTTTTTACATTACTTTAATACTTTTACAAATACTTACATATCCCCAAATAACGCATCATTTATTTGCCAGTGTTTGATCTTTATATAAGTGGAATATGTTGTATGTAACATGGATCAGCCATGTTAATGACTGTAACTATCGTTCTCGCTGGCTGTCGTCTACGCTGTCTAGATTTACCACAACTTTCTGTCTGCTCTACTACTAACGTCCTGTTGGGTTGTCCCCTGGTTTTTGTTTCTGTGTTTTGCTGCAGCCAGTGCTGCTCTTATGGCTGCTGGAACCTGACCTGGCCTCATGTTCTGGAGTCTCTGTAGCATATATACCTCGAGTGCAATCACACGTCAGCGTGGGGTCAGGTCAGCTAGGTACCAAATTGTTGTCTACAGTAGTCCTGATTCACACACCTACTCTTGTCAAGACTGCTACATTTTTGGTGACATTCTTGGCCCATTGCTCTTCCATTCTCAATTAATTTTCACCAAAATAGTCTACCAGAACTCTCTTGCGGTGCTTGCACCTCCCGACCATCAGCCCTTCCGACCATCAGCCCTCCCCATGTTTACTGCCCTCAGGGTTATGTGATCCTGAGTTTAACAAGGGTGAATTCATCTAGGCAGGACTTACTCTCTGCATTTTGAGGACAAATCCAGCTGTTTCCGCAAATGGGAAATATAGCAACCTTTACCAAAATGAAAGTGGTAGGGAACAACTAATCTCCTAGCTTATTCTTTCTTTCTTCCTCCCACCTCCCTCTGTTCTTTCTTCCTTTTCTTCCCTCCACAAATTACTTTTTGTTTGGACTTTTAAAAAAGCCAGGCTGATGAATTGAGAACAATAGTTTAATAAACTCATGAAAATGATATACTTTATAATGTTGACATCAGTCTTAGTTCTTAAAACTCAATTCTACAAACACCCCAGGAAGCTTTTCCCAAGCTGCTCTGCACATAATGCCCTTCATTTGTAATCAGAATGAAAATTTCAACCAAACAGTTTATTAAGCCGTTATACTATTTTTTTTTTTTCCTTGTAAACATCCTGGCAGCATGCAGTGACTTCCCAAGACTTGATGCACTTTTCTCAATGGCTTTTAACCAACTTTTTACCAAACCCATCCAATGCTGAATTCAACCCAGAAAGCCTGGTGTCAGGACAGGGGTTATATATTGAGGGTTTGCACTGAGAATGTTTCCAAATAATCCTGGGCTACTTTGGAGGGTGCAAAGATCATTGCAGTGAATTATTTACTCGGCATTTATTCAATAAGCCTCTGTTGAATGCTCATTATATGCAAGGCTGAATGTTAAGTACAGAGGATGCAGAGCTGATTTAGACCTAATACCATGATGAAACATATTCTGATTTTGAAGTTAAGTGTACTCTGAGGGAGGCTCCTTAACCCTGCTCAGTGTGATGTGAGTGGAGGGCACTGGGCAGGCAGAGGGGTGGCAGACAAGACTTCTAGAGGAGAGCATGTCAGAGCTGAGTTTTGAAGGATGATTTGAACTCAGGCTGCAGAAGGAGGGAGTAGAGTAGAGCTTCAGGCAGGTCAGTAGGGTGGGCAGAGTCACATTTGGGAGACAGCACAGCATTATGGGGCCTGTTAGAACATTTGTATGACTGGACATGGGTTGCCAGACTGGCAAGAGAGGTGGGGAGGAGGCTGAGTGAAGAGGGCCTCCCAGGTTTTGCTGGGAGATGGAGATCTTTACCCGGAGACCATCTCTAAAAGATTTAAACAGAGAAACTGCATAGATGTACCTTCTGTTTAGAAACTTCACTGAAGCAGTTCTGTGTAGGGAATTGGAAGTTAGTGACCAGGACTTATGTGGGGAGCCAGACATAAGAACAGAGAGGGCCTGGGATAGGTCAAAAATAGGCCACAATTGGTCAGAGATATCAACACACCACTCTCACCATTAGATAGATCAACAAGACAAAAAAATAGGCAAGGACACAGGAGCTCTAAACAAGGATCTAGACCTCATGGGCTAGTAGACTTCTACAGGACACTGCACAAAGAAATCTGAGTACACATTCCTCTCAAATCCACATAGATCATGCTCCAAAATTGATCATATATTGGGACATAAGGCAAATATTAACAGATACTCCAAGATCAAGATCATACCAACTATCTTCTCTGACCATGAAAGCATCAAACTAGAAGTAAAGCACAAAAAGAAAGAAAGGGACATTCCTACCTCATGAAGATTAAAATCCACACTACTGGAAGATCACTGGATTAATAAAGAGATCAAGGAAGAAATTAAAAAATACCTTGAGATGAATGACAATGAGGACACAACCCTCCAGAATGTGTGGGACACAGCAAAAGCAGTCATAAGAGGAAAATCCACAGCAATACAGGCACATACCAAGAAACAAGAGAAAAAAAAAAAAACTAAAAAAAATAACCTAATGTCTCACCTTAAGGAACTGGAAAAAGAACAACAAAAAAGCCCAAAAGTCAGCAGAAGAAAGGATATAATAAAAAAATCAAAGCAGAAATAAATGAAATAGAAGTAAACAATGAAGCCCAAAGCTGGTTCTTTGAAAAAAATAAACAAAAAAGACAAACCTCTAGCCAGGCTCACAAAGAAAATACAGGAGAAAAACACAATTAGGATCATAAGCAAAAGAGGAGAAATCACAAGAGACACAGCAGATATCAAACGAATAGTGGGAAATTACTATGAACAGTTATATGCAAACAAGTTCAACAATCTATAAGAGGTGGGCAAATTCCTACTTTGCAATCACCCAAGGCTTGACAGAGAAGAAATAGAACACCTAAACAGGCCAGTTACCAGCAGTGAAACTGATACAGTAATCAGATCTCTTCCCGAAAACAAAAGCCGGGAACCAGAGAGCTTTACAAATGAATTTTACCAAACATTCAGAAACAAATTGCCTCTCTAAACATACTCTTCCAACAAATTGAGAAAGAAAGAATAATGCCAACCACATTTTTATCAAGCAAACATTACACTAATACCAAAACCAAACAAGGACAACACAAGAAAAGAAAACTACTCTAATGAACACTAGTGCAAAAATCCTAAATAAAATCCTAACTAATAGAATCTAACAATGCATCAAAAAGATAATCCATCATGACCAAGTGGGATTTATCCCAGGGGCACAAGGATGGTTCAACATTCAAAAATCAATTAATCCAACACATCAACAGAGAGAAAAATAAAAATCATATGATCATATCAATAGATGCAGAAAAAGCATTTGACAAAGTCCAGCATCCATTCATGATAAAGGTAATGGAAACTCTTGGGATAGAAGGAACATACCTTAACATAATAAAGGCCATATATGACAAACCCATAGCTAGTGTCATTCTTAATGGTGAAAAGCTGAAATCCTTTCCCTTAAGATTAGGAACAAGACAAGGATGTCCACTCTCACCACTGTTTTTCAATATAATACTGGAAGTCTTAGCCAGAGCAATAAGACCAAAA